AAAAAAAAAAAAAAAGAAAACACACACACACAGAAAATATATGTTTTCAATAGCAGATATTTAGGTGCACCCTGGCACACCTAGCAAGGTGTGTTAATGCATTTTTAAAATGAACATGTTACATAATAAAATGAACACGTGTAAAACATGTTAAAACACGTGTTCATTTTATTGTGTAACATGTTTATTTCAAAAATACATTAACACATTTTGCTAGATGTGTCAGGGCGCACGGTAGTAGCACTGGTCTTCGATGCTTCCCACAGTTGAGTTGACTCGAAAAAGTAAAGGTCTTTTTATGCGTCAACACCATCTGGGCTCCATTGTTTTGCCCCCACTTACTTATCATCAAATTATTACTCTCGAATTTCCCAATTTGACCAAGTCATTAATCCCTTTCCCTCTTAATTATACCTAATACTACCTCTTATTTTTTTAAATGTCATTTTGGCATTATCAACTATTAATAAAATAAATGTCGTTTTGGATATTTTGTAATACATATTTTTTCTTTATTACCCTCATTTAGCTAATAATTACATTATGTATTTTCATATTCATTTTTTATCTTTTTTTTCGAAACATACATCTCCATCCTCGTTAATGAAAATTATTATTGACAAAAAAATATTCTTGATAACTATGCAACTTCTCAAAATGACACTTATTAAAAATATGAGGGAATATTTATTAATATTGTACTGATTTGTGTCGAAAATGGTAAAAATCGATCTCGAAATGAAATTCTAAGGCAGTTTCCTCGGGTGGGTTATTTTTTTAAAATAATAAAAAAATCTGTGGCAAAAAATAAAAAAAAAAATAATAATTGTGGAAAAAAATCAAACGGACGGATTCTGAAAATCCGTGTTTCTAATTAAAATTTTTAACCGAAACACGGATTCTCAGAATCCGTTTTTGTTTTACATTTAATTTTTTTTAAAAAAATGAAAGTCGAAATTGTCGGTGGATTTTAATATTAATACTGGACAACACGGATTACCAAAATCCGTGTTACGTTTTAAAAAAAAAAAACGATTAACACGGATTGTGAGAATCCGTGTTTTGGTCAATATATACAACTACAGACTGCTTCCCCAACCACAAAAAATTCATCAATCCGAATTTTTTTTCTCACAAATCATCCATCAATCCGAATTTTTTTTCTTTTTTCTGTTCGGTTTTTGAAGACAATCGGGGAA